TATCAAATGCCCCTTAAAATCTAAGAATAGAAAATAAATGAAGTCTGTTGCATGAGGAAAAAAAAAAAAAAAGCAAAATGAAAAGCAAGAGGGGTTAGAAACGATAGAAGAGATTTTCTTCACAAGATAAGAAAGAATGCTCCACAAAATTGTCAACTATTAATCTTCATTTATCCCCCATCCTGGTGGTATTCTCACAGCACGTTCGCCTTCTATCTTCTCCAATTTTCATCTATATATCCATAGTATCTCGTACCAAACCTTTTTCTCCTTCATGTCTAAAGATCAAATAAAATTAGAACAAACTCCAAAACAAGATGTGAAAGAAGAAGATAATGGTCCTAGGGCTTTGATGGAAAACAACGATGAAGGGTCCCGAACACCTACGTCTCAAGAACACAAGATTTCGAAAACCAGGATCTGCCCATCTGCCCCAAGGAAGAAAAAAACAGGGTTCCTCCATAAGAGAAAATTTGAAAATCTGAAGTTCTTTGAAGTTACTGGAGGTGATGAGGAGATGGAGCTGTTCTTTCAATCATTCACTGAGAGTGCTAGGGTTTCACCACCAGGTACCACTTCCAAGAGGAGACGTATCAATCAGTGATTAATTTTTTAAGCCATATATTTTAAGGTTATATATAGCTATATATTTAAATAGATTATAGATCCAAATGGAGATTTAGGCTATAATTGTGAATTTTTAGCTAATCCTGATGAATAATAATCTTTTTTTTTTTTTTTCCTAATTCATTAGGAATATATATGTATACGTTCCGATATTCAGGAGCTGAAAAATATAATGCATATTTTGTTGTGTCTTACAGAAATCATAATTATATTGTCAATTAATTTATTTTAATTGTAAATAATTTGTTCAACTTTGATATTGTTGGACACCTTCTTTTAGAATATTCACGTAAATTCAATTTAATAATTAAAATGTACTAAAATTTGAAGTTTGATTTTAGAATACCAATCTTATCAGAAAAAAGTAGAACAAGCAATTATGTTTACGTTTATTCGATGTGAGATGACATAGATATGAAATATCTGTCATTCTTTACCTTCTCCTACTTACTTCGGGATTCCTTTTCCATCACCGAGACCAGTTTCTTCTTCTTTTTTCATCATTTTGCTAACAGATCTATATCAGTTCATTGGCATACGACAACTTTATTAATTATTACTGCGCCCTTTGTAGGCTCAATCTTATATATTGTTGACAACGACGAGGGGAGAGAGACCCTTCAAATTTCCTGTTCAGTTTGTCTTTTTGTTTCTGTTTTTGGTCCATTACAATATCCATAGATGTAACTCAATGAATGGTGATGGTGGGACTAAGGGTATTATTTGATTCGATTTCCCGATGCAATATAACCTTATTTCACTGTTGAAAAAAGATGTGACACTGATAAGAAATTAACGATAGAAATTTTCTTTCTGGGGTTATTGACATATTTGACACCGACGGCTTTTATTCTATACTACTTCACCTAGGAATTCAACAGTTGAAATTTTCATCCATGACATTCATATGGGAATGTTCAACGGAAAAGTCAATCGAAAAGACATTGATTGGAGATGATGGACGGAATACCCATGCTACTGCTACAAGAACCACACATAACATGTGTCACACTGTGCCCTATTAACACATGAATTTAGTTGTTTGATAGGCATTTTTATATAAAAATACATTTTAAAATAGTAAATTGATGTGAAATGTGTGATTAAGAAATAAGAAATTTTTTTGATTTACGTGTAATATTATTTTAATAAAAAATGTCTGATTGAAAAAAAGAGAGAGAAAAATGCATTTTGAAAAAAATGGCTACCAAATGGGGCCGAATATTTAGCCCTTGTTTGAGTCGTATTATTATTTTCATAAGAATGTATTTTTTAATAGTGTATTGATAGAAAATATCTGGTTAAAGTATAAGAAATTTTTTTAAAGTTGCGTGTAATATTATTTTATTTAAGAATGTATGATTAAAATGATATCAAATCACTTATTAAGAATGTATCTTTTTTTTTTTAAATGTGGGCCAAACAGGGCCTTAAAATTGAATTAACGATCTTCTTGAATTGCTTTTAACCATTGATGTCTTCTACACCAAGAACCCTAAACAGAGACCTGCTAAAAATATGAGACTTATTAGTATCCCCATTGAATTATCAATTCTTTAAATATTCAAGAAGTCTGAGATCGTTGTGATATGTTAAGAACATGAAATTGAAGTTTTAAGTCAGCTTAAGCTCTTCCAGTGGACGTGCGTGTATAGAATAAGCTTAAATTTAAAATATCTTTGTATCCAATCTCATATTAATTAAATCATTTTCAGTTAGTCACTGAACCAGGTTTTTGCATCGTCTCTTTAGACCAAGCTATGGGTCGACTTGCTCCAACAATGCCATAAAACCATATTGCTTAGGTGCACCTGAAATCGAAACTCTCTATATTCTTTTCGTGGTTCTCATTGACTTGGTTGATTGAGTTGGCCTTTGATTTATTAGCTCTTTTGACTCGCTGACTTCTCAATCTACACATAAAAATTTAACCAACTTCTGTACAACATCTCAAATTTTCGAGCTAAGCTTGATTCTGCAAATCTTGAAATGATTAAACAAGTCTTGCTTCACTTGATCCTTACCACAATTTGCAATCATATTATATGAACATCAAAGTTGATATAAAGCTTGATATAACGCCACATGACATTCTATTATTGAAAAGTTTAAAACACAATCAAGTTTTTCATCTAATTATCTACTGCAACCTACAATTATGTCAAACTTTTTGTCAAAAGTCGCTTTATCCAATTTTTAAAAAGAATTTTCCAAGTTGTCCTCATTGTTATTGCCTAATTATTGCAACCTACAATTATGTCAAACTTTCTGTCAAAAGTAGCTTTATCCAATTTTTAAAAAGAGTTTTCCAAGTTGTCCTCATTGTTATTGCCTAATTACTGCAAACTTTCTGTCAAAAGTCGCTTTATCCAATTTTTAAAAAGAATTTTCCATGTTGTCCTCATTGTTATTGCCTAATTACTGCAACCAACAATTATGTCAAACTTTCTGTCAAAAGTATCCAATTTTTAAAAAGAGTTTTCCAAGTTGTCCTCATTGTTATTGCCTTAATCCAAAATATTCTCTACTATTGGACCCCAACAGATTTTTCCAAGTTGTCAAAAGTAGCTCCATGGAGTTGGGAATAAAGCGTAAACTATTCAAACCAAAGCAATCCGTCCTTTGTCACCAACATCTATTGCAACATAAGCAACAAGCCTGCAAGGTTGGTCATGTTTGTGTTGCTGCAGAACATACACAATATAAAACCTGCCCATTTTATTCACTCTTGTCCACTTTTGTTGTGTCTTTATACTTTTGCGAGGTCTCATAGAAAAGATCACGAGCATTATTGAAACACATCAAGTTCCCAACTATTGTTACTAAAGTTTAAATCTAATTTTCCTTTATCGAGTCCGCACAGTTAAGTCCAATCAATGAATGATTCGAGCTGCCCTCGGGGCGTATCCCAGTTGTGCAAAGGACAAGAGTGAAGTAGTTTCAGCTTTGTTGGCAATCGTAGTGTAAGAGTTCGATTCCTAAGATATGAAATTAGATTCTTTGTGAGCACCAGTATACAGGCAATCTCTTATTCTCTGATCTATCGGAACAAATCCCGCGATTTACCTCCCTCACGATGCTCAAGGGGTGGGACGGTGGGGGCCCTCAAGATTGTGATTCAACCTTTTTTAATGAATGATTCGAGCCATTCTATAATAAACAAATATAAAATTAGTACTTGTAATCATAAATTCAACTTTTGCATTAAAAAAATAAATATATAAAGCCCTCGTACCTAAAATATCTGTGTAACGACATCCCAATATTAAAAAAAGACTACTCCAAAGGTGGGCATACCATATTTTACACTATTGGATGAGATCTGATTAACTTTACCATCTATGCATTTCGAGCAAAATAAAGCTAACATGTTGCTCGGCCTAATGATGACAATAACAAGAAATACGGATAGGGTAACTACGTTACTTTGAGATGTGGATATTCCGTTCTTGGAATTGTACGTAACAAATCTAGTAAGAATTTTGTCAACGTATGAAGCTTGGTACAAAGTTATTTGCTTTTCTTCATGTCTTGTAAGATTTGAATTTCCTAAATGTAGCTAGTTTCTCCAAGACCCTTCGTTTGAAAATGTTAAGACCACCATAATTTTACTGATGATAATATCCCCCACATCATTTTCTATGAGTAGGATATCATCCACATATAAAATTAGGAAAACTGCTTTGCTGTCTCTTATCTTTTTATTGACGGACACATTGTTCTTCGATGTTCTTACCCAATAAGAATGTTTTGATCACTTTATCAAATTCATTATCCAAGACCTTGACACCTGTTTAAGCTCATAAATGAACTTTGGCAGTTTGCTGACCTTCTGTAGCCAACAGTAACACAATGAATTAAAGGTACACAACATCTTGAAACCTAACGAGAGGGGAGTGCAGGATTTTTATGTCAACATATATACATTAGCGTACATGTAAGTACGAAACACACACTACGAGTTACGAGTGTTACCAAGCAATTTAAATATCTTACACCTTGTACTAAATAATTTTGGCCGTTTATATATTTCTTCGAAAGCACGAATTAAAAATATTTCTCACAAGAAATCAATGAGGAAAGCCATAATATAAAACAGGCACGAGGAAGTTATTTACATCGAACGAGAAAAATAAAAGTATTTTCGCTCATAAAAATAAGTGGAATTACGAGATACGTTCCTTTATGAAAAGCAAAGATTAATGAGGATTGAACAGGTTGAGAGACAGGCAAAGGTTGGATAGATTGGCTTGACAGCGTGTGATTGAATGTTTGTTTTTCTATTTTTCAAATTATCCAATCCTGTTTTGACATGTGTTCCTTTATTTTTTAGCTTCTTGTTGCATAATTGAAAGCAAAAACCAGGTGACAGTCCGCTGCTTCTCTTGTCAAAATCTTTGCATCCAGACAAGTTTTACACAATATACAGATTCCATGCACGCCTTTTTTTAATTCAAATTACAAATATTAAAAAGTTTTCCTTTCAGGCCCCACATATTTCCTTTGTTTTCAACAAAAAATCTAATAAGATTCCAAGTAGTTTGCCGCCATCCTTATCTATCTTTGCCTCTTGCTCTTTTACTCTTTTTCTTTCTTTCCATCTTTCATTCAATTGTTTTCAGATAATCACATACAGTGACACAGATTAATGAAATCATCACTTCCAAATTACTGCAGCCTTTTGGTATTTGATTCAGAAGATCGCCGAACAGAATATACACCAATACTTGCTTATTCAGAATAGCAAAAAATTTCAGCTTTAATCACAATGAACAGTACCATTCTGAATAGAAGGCTGCTCCAAGTAGACCCATATGCAGTAGGCAGCACTTACTCACCAAACTCTGCCTCAAGAAATCCCAATTCCCAGTCCATCAATGGCACCTCCGCCACCATAAATAGACCATTCAGAGCCACCACACCATTCGACTCCTCCATGGCCTTGACTGTTCTCGTTCTCCTCGGCGCCCTCTTCTTTATGGGCTTCTTCTCCGTTTACATCCGCCGCTTCACCGCCGAGGACCCTTCTTCGTCGTCATCTTCTTCTTCCTCCTCCGATGTTCGCCCCAGCAGAAACCCACCTCCGGAACCAAACCACCACAAGGGTCTCGATCCCTCCACCATGAAATCACTCCCTCTTGTGCCCTACGGTGTGGCCGTGAAGCTCCAGATGATGATTGAAGACTGCCCCATTTGCTTGAGCGAGTTTGAGGAAAGAGAGATTGTTAAATTGATTCCATACTGTAGGCACGGTTTCCACCCCAGGTGTATTGACGCCTGGCTGTCCTCGCACGTGACGTGTCCTGTCTGTCGTTCAACTCAACTGTTCGAAAGAATTGAGGAAGTTTGTCTGGATGTGCAGCAGGAGAAAAATAACATTGGTGTGAGTGATGGTGGTGAGAGATTAATGGTGATTAATAATGAGACGTGTAGAGATGAAGATGCTTTGCCGGTAAGATTAACAAGGACGTGTAGTTGTTCCAGTTTGGCTAACCAAGCGGCGTTGCAGAGAAGCACGAGTTTCTGATGGTATCCGTCTTAATAATTAAGATCAACCTTATTTTAATAAGATCAACCTTATTAAGGGGAGTGAGGAGTGATCCGTGATCTATTTAAATTGATCAATATTTCGATATTTAATCGATGTGTGATTTATTCTCTTAACATGTCCTCGCAAAATGGTGGCTCTTTTTTAGCAGACCAATCTTGAAATTCGTGTGTTCATTTTTGAGACTTAATCGAATCGAATAGCTCGTTTGAGTTTATTGGATTCTGATACTATGTTAAGATTTGAGATCCATCTTAATAAGGTCAACCTTATTAAGAGGAGTAATCCAAGATCTATTTAAGTTGATCAATATTTTGGTATTTAATCGATGTGAGATTTATTCCCTTAACAGTTGTATAGCTTTTTCTTTTATATATTTATATGATGTTATGCATAAATCATTCAAGTAGTTAGCATAAATGTCTTCCGTTGTTTGCACTTATTGCTCAAACCGTTTCGAACTAAACATTTACACATTTATTTCAATTTTTTCTTAGGGAGTCGTTCGTCTCATTCCGTCATTTTCTTCTGCCATATATGAGTAATTATTGCAAAATGTCCCTATAATTTTTCCTCTTTGCAGGAATCGTATCTACTGTTTCAATTTTAGTATTTGGACCCTTAGATTGATCTTTTTTTGCGCAAAAGGTTCTTATCGTCTATATTTTTCATTAAAGCATTGTAAAATAATAAATTTATCCTCATCGGCAAATAACACAAATAAAAAAGAATCAAATAACATAACAAAAAGAAATAATTGAAGTTTAAAATTTTTCGAATAGTGCAAATAAGTCCTATTTAAAGAATTTAACAGGACTGGAGTTTGGATTAAGATTTTGAATGAACCCTCTAATAAAAGAACAAAATCCGTTAATAGACATTATTTTGTAAGGTTAAATCCCTAATTGGTGTTGTATTGAAGATGGAGAGAATGAGTGGTGGTGACCGATTGCAGGTCGGCCAGTTGTGGAATTGGATGGGGGAAGAACTATTGTCTTTTTTATTTTAAATTGTGTCCATTTTAAAACTTATTTTATATTTTTAATTCTCTTTTTAATTATTTTGATGGGGTATAAAAAGCTTGATATAATTATACAAGACAGTAAATAATTGGATGAAAAAGGTTAATCATATTTTGAACTATCCAATGATAAAATCTCACGTGATATTATGTCAATCTTGATGGTAATATAGCATGATTGTTTTATGGAAGGAATTGACGAAAATGACAAACTCTGCAGTAAAATGTTGAAAGAAGGGTGCGATAGAAACGATTTGAACAATGAGTACGAACGATGAGAACTTTTTTTTTTTTTCTCTTTCTTCCTTTTTTTTTTTTTTTTTTTTGGTTAA